TCAAGAGGATGATATGAGCTGATACATGCAGAAAGGCCTAAAACAGTGCCTGGCACGTGGTAAGTGCCCAGTCAAATAATCTTGCACTTCTGTAATGTTTTCCGGTTTACAGAGTGCTTTCATATATCATCATTTCATTTGAGGCTCACAGCAAACTGACAATAGCAGTTACTTGTTGAGAATTTATGAACAACCCTATGAGATGGCCATTATTATCCACATTGGACAGATGACAAAACTGAGAAAGGAACTTGACCAAGGACTCACACTGAAAAGTGCAGTGCTGTTGTGAGAAGCCAGGTCTGTCTCACCCCAAAGACCTGCTCGTCGTCCGTGTGCTGTATTTCTGTCCGTCCTGCAAATACGCCCTGAGCACCCGGGTGTGCCAGGTGTGCTCTAGGTACTGGGAATGCAGTCAAGAACACAAAATCCCTGCCTTTACGGAGCTTTCATTTTAATTGGGAGAGGCAGACGACGAAGAGAATATATCAGATGGCGCTAAGTGCTGTGGAGGAGTGTGAACCCGGAAGAAGACTGGGCAGAGCGGGAGTTGCGGTTCTGAATGGGATGGTCGGGGAGGGACTTGCTGCAAGTTTGTGTGCTGGGGGAGGACTGTCAGCATAGGGAACAGCCCCTAGGAGGGGTGCCTGGTGCATGAGGCTAGGAGCCATCAGGCCAGAGCTGAGTGTGTTGGGGGGCGGGGTGGGGTGGTCTTCAAAGACCTGGCTTTCTGCCCTGTGGACTGTTTGGAAAAGCAGAATGAATGATCCTGCTTCTGAGTGGTTCGGCAGAATCGCTCCAGCTGCTTTGATGAGACTCTTGGGAATAGGGAGGGGCGGCAGCAGGGAAGCCCACTGGAGCGATCCAGCTCAAGGGGACCTAGGCTTGAGTAGTGAAAGAGCTGTGAGAAGTGGCCGGAGTCTGGACACATTCTGAAGGGAGAGTCAGCATGTGCTGATGAGTTAGACATGGGATGTGAGAGGCAGAAGAAAAAGAATGACCTCTGAGCAGATAAAATGGGTAAACTTATTCCCATTTTACAGATGGGAAAACTGAGGTTGGCGGAGGATAAGTGACTTACTTTTGCAAGGTCATTTAGCTAGAGAGTTAGTAAAGCCGGGACATTTGCCCAGGTATGTTTACTCTAAATTCCTTAGCTTTCCCTGTACACATTGCATCTCTCCCCGCCACAGGCCTCCAGCCTCACCTCACTTACCCGCTGGGAGCCGGAGGCGGCTGACCCGAGCAGGCAGCACCAGCTGGTGTCCACCGTGCTCAGTAAATGCTCATCGATGATGTTGAAATGGTCCCTGGTAAAATCCCCCTCATGATCCGCCTCAGGCAGGGCTGTTTTCCTAAATGTTTGTGGTAGCAACTGAAGACCATTCAGTGTGTGAAGTCTGTGTCTGTTTCTGGAGAACTGTATTCCCGTACCTCCTGTTAGGCTTTAGCCTTTTTCCAGTGGAATACTTTCTTCATTAGACTCCTGTTAAGTTGTGGATTTGTACATCATGACTACTGGCTTTTTTTTTTCTCTTGATTGATTTTCATAGCAGCAGCCAGGTCAGATGGTACAGAATTCTCGCTGGGGAAACCCTGTTCAGTGGGTCTCTGAGGGGAAAGTGTCATTTTCCGGGCTTTGGCGTGGGTAGGAGGCCCAGGCGCCTGATTTTACTGAGCTTACCTTCTTTGGGCTCAACCACGGTGAAGTGTGATAAGGAAATGCCGTTGGTGCCAGGCTGTACCAGGTCAGTGCTTGCTGAGATTGGAAGATTCCTGCCACTTTGGGCCCCTTACAGCCCAGGGGTTTGTGTATCTCCTGCCTGCACACCCCTCACTTGGACCACCTGCAGTGCCATGGGCCAGTGCTGCCTCTCCCATGGTGAAGCACTTAGCAAGCTGAGAGCCTCGGAGGCAGTCCCAAGGGTCTGGAGAGCTTTCATCTGCTTCTTGACTTTGTGGTCAGGTTCAGGAACATGCGTCCGCTTCAATCCCTTTGTCCGTGAGGCTGCTTACTTTCACTTTTACCTCTCAGACACATGCCCCGATCTTTCCTGAATGAGGTTGGGAATGGGAACAGGGAGGGAAAGTGAGGTGTGAGAGGGTGCCAGGCACGTGTGGTCAGAGCCCACGACTTTTGTTCTCCAAGAGCTCCCGCTCAGCTGCGTAGTTGTCAGCTCATCCCAAGTTCCCTGTCCTGATGTCCAGTGCACCGTCCTAGGCGTGGGGAGATCCCCTGTGCACCTACCTGGGACACATGTGCAGACTGATGGGCTGTGATTTGCCCTGCAAGTGCTGTCGTAGAAGTGAGCCTGGAGGCAGGACTGGGGGAGTAGCTGGGTTTTGGGGGTTTCCCAGGTGCAGAGGGGCACCCCCGGCCGAGGAAAAGCTCGTGTAAACATGGGCCCTTGTAGAGACCTGGCTTGCTGGGCATCGCTGAGAGGGGCCCTGTCCAGAGCTTAGGCACAGAGGATGGGGCCACAAGGGAGGAGCGGGCTGGCTTGTGAAAGGCACACACACCCCCTGCCTCCCACCATTGTTCTTCATGTGCTCAGCATGTCTCTGTAGTTTCCTTTCTTGGCTTGAATTCATCATTGTAATTGTGGTCCTGTGTATGTTTGGCGAGGAAAACTTGAGAATCCGATGCATGAAATTTAATTGTATAGCTTATTTTCACAGTGTTTATTACCCCCCATTGTTGCAAATATTTTCAATAGTTTTCATTGTTTTAGTGTAAGAATTTTAGGCTCTGTTTACCAAATGTGTTGCTTTTAAAAGTTGCTCACGGGGCCAGACCAGTGGTGCAGGCGGTTGAGTGTGCGCGCTCCACTGCGGCAGCCCGGGGTTCGCCAGTTCAGATCCCAGGCGCGCACCGACGCACTGCTTGTCAAGCCATGCTGTGGCGGTGTCCCATATAGAGTGGAGGAAGATGGGCACGGATCTTAGCCCAGGGCCAGTCTTCCTCAGCAGAAAGAGAGGAGGATTGGCTGATGTTAGCACAGGGCTGGTCTCCTCACAAAAAAAAAAAAACTTCCTCATGGGCCGGCCCTGGTGGCCTAGTGGTTAAGTTCAGCACGCTCCGCTTCAGTGGCCCAGGTTTGGTTCCCAGGCGTGGACCTACACCACTCACCTGTCAGTAACCATGCTGTAGTGGTGGCTCACATACAAAAAGAGGAAGACTGGCAGCGGATGTTAGCTCAGGGTGAGTCTTTTTCAGCAAATAAATAAAAAAAGGTGTGGCTCATCCAGATGGGATGAGCTGTGAATGTAAAATGCACATCAGGTTTGAAGACAGTATAAAACAAAGAACAGAAAATATCTCATTAAAAAAAAAAAGTTTGGGGCCGGCCCGGTGGCATAGTGGTTAAGTTCTCATGCTCTGCTTCGGCAGCCCAGGGTTCGCAGGTTCGGATCCTGGGCGGGGACCTACACACCGCTTATCAAGCCATGCTGTGACAGCGTCCCATATAGAGTAGAGGAAGATGGGCACAGATGTTAGTTCAGGGACAATCTTCCTCAGCAAAAAGAGGAGGATTGGCAACAGATGTTAGCTCAGGGCTGTTTTGTTAATTCTCCCAGTGATTTGAGATTTTCCGGATTATCACTGACTTGGTCCTCTTGGTTGCTGCAGATATCAGCTCGACCTGCACAACATCCTTGAATTTCAGCTCCCCTTGCCATTTCCCTGGTGCCGCACCTGAGTACCAGTCACTCCAACTAACCAACCGTCTCCCAGGTAGCTTCCCTGGGTCCATTGTCTGCCCCCCAGCCCAGCTCCCACCACGCTGTCTGCCATCACCACAATAACACTCATTTAGTGAGTCCCAGCTGTGAGTCAAGGATGCTAGGAACTTGACACACATCATCTCACTTAATTCTCCAAAAAGACAGAAAATACTTTTGACAACAGAGGGATGTGAAGCTCAGAGAGATTAAGTTGCCTGGTTAGGGTCCCATGCCTACGGAAAGGCAGGGCTAGAATTCAGACCTGGCTTCTGTGACTCTAAAACCTGTTCTCTTTCTGTAGTGCTAGTGGACCTCTATTAGCACCTGTCACTCCCTTACACAGAACCTTCAGAGAGCAGCGCCATTGCTCAGTGTAACCCTTGGGTCCCCACCGTAGGCTCCCTCTTTACTTTGTCTTTTATTAGATGTACTGATGTCCGTGTGCCTGCATTTCAAATTGAGCCACTTTTTGTTCTCAATCAAGAGCCATCTCAAGTATCCTGAAGAGCCATCTGCCTCTTCCATGAAGCCTCTCCCTGTCCTCTTCACAAGGAATGTTCTCTCTCTTTAGAATTCTCTCCACTCGGTGACAGATTAGCCTTGGTGAGAGTAGCCTCTGTCTCAAAAAAGAAAATCTGAATGCCATGGTGGTCTATCCAGAATGCTACACTCATTCTTAAAAGATGTTTCTCTTTTTTGGTAAAGGTGCCGTATAATTCCTAATTCTGGTCTGGTGAGTTCCAGCCCTTGCATTCGTGGACAGCTAGTGAGAGTGACCACGTGCTCTCTCTTAGGATGCTGTCAGCACCTTTTGTAGTAGTACTACTGCCTTGCAGGTAAAAGATAGAAGCAGAACACTTTTTTAAAAAATGGTTTTATTTTTCATTTTCTTTTCCTCCTCAACACATTGCTTAGAAACATTGTTATCTATATTAATATTTTTTATATCCACTTCGGAGCACAAATTTCCAACTAAATCCCACACAGTTCACTCAATATCCTAAGTCACACAATAACACTGTGTTAATGTTGGCAGTACTCTCTGGAATGTTCCCCTTCTCACTTAATATAACACTTAACCCCAGCTCTTCTTAGCATCAACTGCTACCTTTGGATTAACAGATTAGTAGAAGTTTTCTAATGGTTTCCCATTCTGGGTAAAATAAAAATGATTACTTTCCCTTGGGGGTATGTTCTCAAAGGTCACTTTTTTGTCACTTAACATTTTTTTTGTTAGCTGTGTCTTTTAAACCATGCCATCTCTGTTTTTTTAGTTTCTTCAGATGGAGGTACTGAGTCCTCTGCCTTAGTGGATGACAATGGCAGTGAGGAGGACTACAGCTATGAAGACCTGTGTCAGGCCAACCCCAGATACCTGCAGCCAGGTGGGGAGCAGCTGGCCATCAACGAGGTACTGGAACTCCCCACACCAAGGGTGAATGTTAGAGACCCATTTTTAGGGGCCAGAATCACTTCAGACTTTGCTCTCTGATGATTTCTTACTAATCACATTCTAAAGCCTGATTAGAAAAACACTATGATTTTCTAGCATTTTCAGGGACAGTTTATGTGATTCAGTTTCCAGATAACTAAAACTCGCCCCTCTCAGTACGAGCGGAGCTCGTTAGTGCTTGGAGTTCTCTTGCAGGGAGCATGTGGGGCGTAACTTCTCGGTGAGTCAGCATCCCCACTAGTGTCACCACTTGCTGCTGTAGAATATGATGATGTCCCTGGGAGCCGAGGGGACGTGCAGAGTGACCTGCCCCTGTGGTAGACTACAGATGAGCTGGGTCTACTCTTTACTTTTGTTACTAATTGTTGAATACCCAGAAATCAAGCTGTGTTCTATATAATTGCAGTGAACTATAAAGTGTGGTACAGAGTTTATTCCAGTTTTGAATAAAGCATGAGTAGTAAGCTCTGGGAGAAGCCGTGAGGGTCTTGCAGTAAAGTCTGGGCATAACCTTTGGAGGCTTGGCTTTATGACATCTGCTCAGAAACCATTTCTGGGGTGAATATTCCAGATATTCAAATTTAGGTAACTGATCTACGGATAAGAGAGCTATTTATACATTTTTTAAGATGTGGGTTTGGGGTTTCCTTTCAGAACATATGAGAGATGCCTACCTGGTCTTGTTTTCCCTAGTACGTTTTTCTCTGTTCATTTTGTGTAACAGTCGAACAGTAAGTATTGACCAAAAGCCATCACTGTACACAAGTGAGAACAAGATGGTGTGCACGTCACCCTGAGAGCGCACACAGCGCCCCTGCACTGTTCTGCCCTCCTGGTATTGCACTGAGCACGCCTGCTTGTCTCCATTCCAGCTGATCAGCGATGGCAGCGTGGTCTGCGCAGAAGCCCTGTGGGACCACGTGACCATGGACGACCAGGAACTGGGCTTCAAGGCGGGAGACGTGATCCAGGTTCTGGAAGCTTCTAACAAGGACTGGTGGTGGGGCCGGAACGAAGATAAGGAAGCCTGGTTCCCCGCCAGCTTTGTCAGAGTAAGCGTGTGGCATTTTCCACTCTTCACAGGCGTCTGTCGGGGGGCGGGAGAATTGTTTCAGGCCCGGATGCACTCTACACAGATTCACTTCTTTGTAATCACTTCAGTCAATCCTTTTAGTAACTAGACTGAGTTGGAGGAAACTTTTAACTAAGGTAAACTCATCGTTTGGCATTGCTGCCATGTTTTGAGCCACCGGCACAGAGTGGCTCTACTAAGTACATGAAGACTTAGGCTGGGGCTGGCTGCCTCCCTAACTGGTCATGGAGAAGTAGAAAGCAGGGAGGCCTGCCTGGTGCCGGGGCCGCCTTACCCCCAGTCACCTGTCACCTGTGTGTGGACTACAGTTGCGAGTCAATCAGGAGGAGCTGTCGGAGAATTCCAGCAGCACCCAGGGCGAGGAGCAGGAGGAGGATGCGGACCAGAGCCACCACAGGCACTCCGAGAGCAAGCGCCAGATGAGGACCAACGTCATCCAGGAGATCATGAATACCGAGCAGGTGTACATCAAGCACCTCAAGGACATCTGCGAGGTAGGACTGCAGACCCCACGGCCTCACTCAGGCTGTCATGTGACTGCGTGACATGCCCCTGTGGTTTTCTTCTGTGGCCAGTCAGACCCTTGTATTTACTTTTTGGGGTTTTTTTTTTTGGTTTTTTTTTTTTTTTTTTTGGTGAGGAAGATTAGCCCTGAGCTAACATCTGTGCCAGTCTTCCTCTATTTTACATGTGGGACGCCACCACAGCGTGGCTTGATGAGCGGTGTAGGTCTGCGCCCAGAATTGGAACCCTTGAACCCTGGGCCGCCACAGTGGAGCGTGCAAACTTAACCACTACACCCCCGGGCTGGCCCCTGTATTTGCATGTTTGCTGCACCCTCAGTTCTCCTCACCCGCGCCCCGCCGCTCTGGCCCCTGCACAGACGGCTCGCTCCTTAGATATCTGCGCTCTCCCTTGGTGAGCGTCAGTGGCTGTCTGATCGCTGTGGCAGCCAGTCCTCTCTTCAGGGCACCAGGCAACTGTCTCTCCTCAATAATCTTAACCCTGAGATTATTCAGAGTGAATGACGGTCAGAGAAGGCAACACCCTTTAAGTGAAACGCACTTGACTTCACAAAGAATCAAAGGTTTGTCACCATCTACGACCCCACTGCATCCAATCACTGACACACAGGTGAGATTCTGAGTCACTTAGGTGCAACAAAAACAGTTGGTTTTATCTAGTGATGTCCGAGGCTATATTCTACAGTATCATGATAATTCTACTCGGCAATAAATGTCATTTCTCCTGTGGAGTTTTTCGTTTCTATGGCCTTTGTACGAGCATTAACACTAAGCTGTTGTTCTCCCGGTCTGATGATTCCAGCTGTCCTGGCTGTGAATGCTGACTTCTGCACTCTCAGCTCACACTGAAGACAGGCTGAAGGGGGACGACTGGCCGTTTCGTGACTGGACTAAGTGGCCAGATAAAGACATGCCGATGTTTAGCTTATCTATGCCAGCCATCTTGTTCTGTATAAATATGTGCTTAAAGTGGCATTTTAGGAAAAGTAATTGCTAATAATTGTTGAGTGCCATCCCTTTGCCTGGGTTAACTCGTTTTATACTCACAACACTCTCACTAGGCAGGTCCTGTTAGGCCCTATTACAGATGAGGAAACTGAGGTGCAGTGAAGTTAAGTGGTGGGGTTGGGATTTAAACCAAGAAGTCTGCCCCAGAGCCTGTACTTTGAACCTTTACGTTGTCTTTTTTGTTAAAATTCATACCAAATAGTCAGTGGTATGTATTTTAGCATACAGTCAGTTTAGTCTGTGTATTCATGTGATGCTAATGTGAGAATAATTGTTACATATGCTTATGGCCTTCCCCTCCTGCCACGCTAACTCCTACCCAAGCCACAGTGCCACCAGGGTGTTGTCCACAGAGTGTTAGTAGTCTTGCATTAGTGCAGGCCTTGGGCTGGAGACCTCCAGGTTTATGCCGCGTGTAGGACGTAGGCGATGGTGAAGTCCTTGGGTGAGATGTTCTTGGCTCCCCGCCGTGACAGTGAGCAGAGCCGTGTGCGCTATTGAGCAGGCGACGGCAGTCTTCTCAGCTGTGAAATGGAATTAGAGATGGGAGAATGGTTATCTTAAGAGTTTAGAAAAAGTGTGATAATACCAATTTTTGATCTCTAGCATTTGAAACCAAGCAATGTATTTCATGAGTATAGTCTGGAAACTTTATATGGTTTCTTGAGTTATAAATCCAACCACACATACCTCTTCTCTTTCTTTTTGTTTTTAAAATATTTATGGCACATTGTAGTCATGGAACTACGATTATCCCATCAGGGACCTAGAGAGGTTAAAATAATTTTGTCTAATGAAAATCCACTCTAAGACAACGGCTATGGACCCCCCAAAACTGTATTATTCAAATAAATAATTTCTATGAATTTGCAAATTAATTTTTTAAAGTTTACTTTTCTATTTTGCAGGGATATATTCGACAGTGTCGCAAGCACACAGGAATGTTCACTGTTGCACAACTAGCCACCATTTTTGGAAACATTGAAGATATTTACAAATTCCAAAGAAAGTTCTTGAAAGATCTTGAGAAACAGTACAATAAAGAAGAACCTCATTTAAGTGAAATAGGATCCTGTTTTCTTCAACATGTATGTCACCCATTACTTCTTATTAGTCACATCCAGTTAAATAGTTCTGAAATGTATTTTCTCCACATAAAAACATTTCTCCAAGGGGGGCCGGCCCGGTGGCGCAAGCGGTTAAGTGCACGTGCTCCGCTTCGGTGGCCAGGGGTTCGCCAGTTCGGATCCCGGGTGCGCACAGACGCACTGCTTGGCAAGCCATGCTGTAGCAGCGTCCCGTATAAATTGGAGGAAGATGGGCGCGGATGTTAGCCCAGGGCCGGTCTTCCTCAGCAAAAAAAGAGGAGGATTGGCAGATGTTAGCACATGGCTGATCTCCTCACCAAAAAAAAAAAACAACAAAAACATTTCCCCAAAGTTTCTCCACTAAAAAGAGGAGTCCTTTTTGTTTTGTTTTGTTTCTTTCTTTGTTTGCTAGATTAATTTCCTATAGAATGGAGATATCATTTGTAAAGTAAGTCGATTGGTTTATATGGTTAATCTTTCCCTAAATAACCCAAGTCCATTTTTTCCAAGTTTTCCCACTTTTGTGCAGTTTGGAGTTAAGGGGTTGTATTTGGAGTAATTTCTAATAATACTTATTAAGTGTCTGTTATACGTTAAGCACTGTTGTCAGGTTTTCTTATATTAGCTCCTGTACTGCTCTGAGGTAGGTATGATTATTTTCCCCATTTTCCAGATGTGGAAACTAAAGCCTGGAGAGTGACTGACCCGAGGTCGCACATTAGTAAGTGGCAGGTGTGAGTTCAGACCGAGGCGTGCTGCATGTGACCACTGTAACTGCCCTAGAACAGTCTCGTCATTTAACTGATGATTGACCGTCACTAATACTGAAAGGTTTCAGAGGAAGAAGATGTTATTCCCAGCTGAAATGGTCAGGGCACAATAAGAGTAATAATAATAGACACCACCCACCTCCTTAGGTAGCCCTCGCTGGATGCTGAGCCCAGTAGCTCCATAGAGGCAGTAGAGTGGGAGCTGATCCTTGGAGGTGGATCATTTCTAAATAACTGAAGATAATGCCATGGTGGTCATGCAAGTGGGAAGACTGGCCCCATGGGTGCACTGGGTCTATTTGGGACTTTGTGAGAGACCAGTTTGGCCTGAGCAGAAGGTTCATGGAGAGGAGTCACAAGAGAGAAGCTTCAGAGGTCAGCGAAGGTCAGGCAACAGAGTGGGGCGGGGCCTGAAGACAGGAAGTCGGGACAGCGGGTCTTGCCTGGAGAACAGGAGAGTTAGAGACAGAGCTGGGCAGGGATGGGAGGTGGACCTGGGCGAGGGTGGTGGCAGTGGAGATGCAGAGAGAAGGATTTGTTGAGATGGGGAGTTTTGAGGACAAACTGGTCATAGGGAACAAAGAGCAGCAGCAGTCAGAGCCGCCTGCAGGGTTTTGAGTCTCAAGACTTAACAGGTGGGTTAGGAAGACCTGTCTTCTGGGGAAATAGGAGTTTAGTTGTGGGTGTGTTGAGTTTTGAGCACACCCGTGTGGAGCAGGATGAAGCCAAAGCCAGAAGGGAGCGCAGCTCTGGACAGGGCAGACGTAGGTGAATGAGCAGCCCGGCGGCAGTGGCCGCGGGTGAGGAGACACCCTGGATGAGGAGCAGAGGCTCTGGGACTGGCCCTGAAGGCCTGAGTCCTGGGAGCATGGAAGAGGCGGGGAGGCCTGGGGAGTGCGCTGAGGGTCCAGGAGCAGGGAGGCGTCCCAGAGAGGGCTGGCAGGGTGGCAGCAGCCTGAGTGAGAAGTCACGGAGCATGGAAGTGGGCGAAGGGCTTGCATTGGAGGTCAGAGCATGAGGGTGTGTGGGAGCCAGATAGTAGGATGGAAGGAGACTGGTGGTGAGCAGGAGGCAGCGGCTCTGAGTCCTCCCCTCTTGGTCAGAGTGGGCAAGTTTGTTAGGGAAAGTGAAGAGGAGAGGAGGGAGTGAGGTGGGCTATGAGCAGCACCTTCCTCTCTGAGCTGTTCTAACATGAGGTGAGACTCAGGTGGGGAGGCTGGTGGCAGTGGTCACCACCCCCTGGGGACATCCCATGCGCCTGTCCTGCGCCCTTTTGGGGTATGTGGAAGGCTGCCTTGAATGGGACCAGGGCGTGAGTCCTAGAGCAGGCTCTCCCTCTACTCCCCAACAGATAACCCCACGTGACCCCCCCGTGAGAGTGTGGAAATGGTCCCTTCCCACAGAGAAGATTCAGGATTATTGCCCAGGCATGAAAAGCCTTGCAGAACTACTTGGGGCTCCATGATACATCTCCCTCCTTTCCAGGAATGTCCCCTTGGATAGGCTGGGTGTTGCCTGTTGTTGTCACAGTTCAAAGCCACCCCATCACCTGATGAAGCTGTGCTTTTCCCTTCCCAGCAAGAGGGCTTTGCGATCTATTCCGAGTACTGTAACAACCATCCGGGCGCCTGCGCGGAGCTGTCCAGCCTGATGAAGCAGAGCAGGTACCGGCACTTCTTCGAAGCCTGCCGCCTGCTCCAGCAGATGATCGACATCGCCATTGATGGCTTCCTCCTCACGCCAGTGCAGAAGATCTGCAAGTACCCTCTGCAGCTGGCCGAGCTGCTCAAGTACACCACGCAGGAGCACAGGTGAGAGGGGCATGAGGCCTGCGTGGGGAGGCCGCTCACAGCCCCGCATCCGCCTGGCAAAACCGAAGTCACGCCAGTGCCCTCAGCCCTGCACATTGAGTGCTTTGGGCTCTCACCCAGAATAGCAGTCACAGACGGGCCCAGACATCAGTCTTGACCCTTTCAGTTAGCTCTATGGAAGAAGTTTTCAGATTGTTTAGGATGTTTAAAACTGTTATAGAGTCATTGAAGAGACTCCAGAATACCCATTCCTAGAGATATGAAGAAATAAAAATAATTCTTAAACTGAGTAATGAGCACATGGGGATTTTTATTGTGTTGTTGGTCTTTGTAATTGACATATACTTTATAAATACTCTTCTGTAGCTACTCAGTAGTTAATAAAAACCATTTTTAGAAGAAATAGACCAGTGGGTCAGCCCCATAGCCTAGGGGTTAAGTTTGGCACACTCTGCTTCAGCAGCCCAGGTTCTCAGGTTCAGATCCTGGGCGCAGACCTACACCACTCATCAGCCATGCTGTGGCGTTATCCCACATACAAAATAGAGAAAGATTGGCGACAGATGTTAGCTCTAGGTGAATCTTCCTCAACAAAAAAAGAAATAGACCAGTACGAATACAGTGTCAGAAATATTCTCCTTCCTCTCCCCTCCTGTGCTCCTTAGGTTGGTTCATAGCAGCTCACTCTCAGAGCAGTGTTATTTACTGTGACAAAAAGGTACTTTATAGAAGTAGTGAGGACATACCAAAGTTTGAACGACAAAAGAGTAGGGAATCTCAGGGGTATGGACTGGTGCGTAGGGTCCGCTTGGAAGGCACGTCTTACTGAGCTCCTGCTGGGCTCTGAGCCCTTTCTTGCCCAGCCTGGGTGCTTACTCTGTCTCCATAATCCTTTCTACCCTGTTTCCTCTCGCTCTAAGCACAGGGCTTCTTGTCATGGTTACCTGAATGCTCCATCTCCCTTAGGGGCTTACATTGTGTCTAACTGAGTTCTTCTTGGGGAGCCAAAAAGTTATCCATTGCTTACTTAATAGCAACTCATCGTTTCGTTGCATGTCCAGAGCAACGTATGATCTAGCTGTGATACTTCATTAAGAGATCACCCATTCAGTATTGGGGTGGGTTTGCCCTTTTCCCATGATGTGGGAAATGTCACCAGCTGTTTGGTGTCTTTGGGTGGCAGTGATTGGTTCATTGCTGATGTTCCCACCAGGCTACAACTCGAATGCCAGTGGGGACACAAGCGTTATCAGGCAGGGTTTTGGGATAAAGCTTACTGTTGTAAATGAGAATCAAACCTTGTCCATGACATCCGTGTCAGTGTCACAAAGCTGTCACTATACCTGCAGCCCTTGAATGTTCAATCTTGAAGGGTTCTAGTGAGGAGAGGGAGAGGGAAAGGATTGTGTCCACAGGAAATTTGCTGTCGCAAACCACAACAGTTCTGGATTTTAACAACTAACTGTTGCCCTGAGAACAATCGGATTATCCGTGGCAGTGCCTACCCTGCAGGGTGCAGAAAATGGATCATTCTTTTGTCCTCTCTGCCGCTGGACTTCTGTGGAGACACAAGGCTTGAAAAGGGAATCTTTTTACAATTAGGTTGGAAGATGGAAAGAGAAAAAGAGCTAGGTTGCTGAACAGTAGACCCTGGATATGGGTGTTAGTTTAAAGAATCAGGATTAAAGGAATAAGAGAAAGGGGTTCATTGAAGTAGATAACGGGAAAGAGAGCTATGTTTTTTTCTTTTTCTGATTGAAAAATCAGAAAAGTTTGGTGAAAAGAAAATACAGAGTCAAGAGAATCACAAATTTGGGGCCGGCCTGGTAGCGCAGCAGTTAAGCACGCGCACTCTGCTTCAGCGGCCCGGGGTTCACGGGTTCACATCCTGGGCGCGTACCAACACACTGCTTGTCAAGCCATGCTGTAGTGGTGTCCCATATAAAGTAGAGGAAGATGGGCACAGATGTTAGCTCAGGGCTGATCTTCCTCACAAAAAAAAAAAAAAAAGAATCACAAATTTAAAGTTTTTAAAAGAGAATAAGAAGGCACCATGATGAGGAACCAGAGAAATAAGAGAATTAAGAAGCAATGGTATCTTGAAAGACGAGGGCAAACACATTAGTTCCTTCCGGATGGGAAGCTGTCGCCACAAGTGCACACATTACCTTCAGCAGTGAATTTTTCTCTCCTTTTTTCTCATGTGAGGAAGACTGTCCCTGAACTAACATCTGTGCCAGTCTTCATCTGTTTTGTATGTGGGTTGCCGCCACAGCGTGGCTTGATGAATGGTGTGTAGGTCCGCACCCGGGATCCGAACCCGTGAACCCCAGGCTGCTGACGTGGAGCGCATGAACTTAACCACTATGCCACTGGGCCAGCCCCTAATTTTTCTCTTTTTAGGGCATTTTTTACCATGAGGCATTTGCAGATTTTGGCTCTTTCCAAAAAAAAATCATTTTAAAGGAAATGACAAAAAGCCCATTTCCTTGTCTTAAGTAAAACACAACAGAATTTTTTTAGAAAACCATTACACTCTGCCTCTTTTCTGGAATTGTACAGAAAAACTTGTAGAAAAAAATACAGTTATTTTGCAGTTTCTTCATTGCTGGAGGCCTTTCTGGGGGGCTTTGCTCCCCTTATTTTGGCAGCCCCCACATGGTTTGTTCCTCCTTTGTGCTCTGCTTCTGGGTGTGAATAGGCCTGTCTCACGACAGCGGGGTCTGCTTGTGGGAAATGCCCAGGGACTTCCCAGGGCTGAGTTTGATTGTGTTGAGTAGATAGACAATAGAATCTACGTCCAAGGCGTTTTTTTCCTGGCTATCCAGGAGGACTCTGATTCATTCAGCTGAGATCCAAAGGCTCTGTCTATCCCCCAAGACTTCTGTCTGTTCTAGAGAACTAGAAAGTATGAAATTCAGCTCAGTAGCTGGATGGTTGGTTTATGTGTCCCTAAATTATTAACACTGAGCAAAACTCGAATGTAAAACGTTCTGATGCTAGACTCCTCCCTTCCAGCCTGTGTGTAGATTACAACTGTGGTGTAGGTTGTCCTGGTACCTTCAGTTTAGAGGCCTTGGGAATAGGAGCTGCTGGGGGAACATTTTTCGTTTGATCTGACTGTAGCATATGGAAAGCACTAGAAATGAAGATCTGTTGATGAGGTAAATGCCGCATTAGCATTCACATAACTCACCACATCAGACTTCTGTGGGTTGTGCCCTCTCGTGTCTTTTCCTGAACAACGTAAACGATGAGGCTCAGAGCAAATAATTACTCTTGACAATGGTTCGTGATTGTTAAAGTACTTTATAATAGCAAAACTAGCTATATCAGAACAAAAGCAATAAAAAAGACTGTTCTTTCTTTATTAATGAAAATAATCCATTGTCATTGTGACTAAAAGTTATTTCTTGTGGCATTTACTTTCATTCATTGTGATTTCTGGGAAGTGAATGAAAACATTCTTATTCCAGAGAATTCTGGATTGCATTCTGTCAGCTCCCTTAACCTAAGCAGACTGTAGTCTATTCATGGAGGAAGAAGAAAAAGGAAACAGTGGCTGTTATTTAAATGCCACTTTGTCTAGACTCTCAGTGCACAATCAAGGATGGAGTGTATGATTTTATCAGGCCTTGTTTGCAAGCTGCATGTTACGTGGTTGAAATGAACCTCCCCTTTGCAGTGATTACAACAACATAAAGGCGGCGTACGAGGCCATGAAGAACGTAGCCTGCTTGATCAATGAGCGCAAACGCAAGCTGGAGAGCATAGACAAGATAGCTCGGTGGCAGGTGTCCATCGTGGGCTGGGAGGTAAGTGGGGACCCCCCCCGCTCCACGTCGTCCCTCATTGCCCACGCCCTCCCCCGTTTGGTCTGTTTAGAGACAGACTTTAATGTCCTGTGATTGAGACTTCATACTCTTGGCTTTAATGGTGTATATATTTTGAGGCATATCATTGAATTTAGCAGTTAACAACTTTATCTCCCACATCCACCAGGAAATACTCTGAGGAATGTCTGTAATTAATTTGTTGCTTATGCTCTGTCTCTCCTGTTAGAGGTAAGCTCCATGAGAGCAACTGGGGAACATTTAGCATATAAATTGTAGTGTGGCAGGAGTACAGACTCGGGGGTCACACTGCCTGCCTCTCAGTCGGTATGATCTGGGCAAGATTACTCTCTTCATCTATAAGATGAAGGGAAAATGGTACCACGTCCTAGGGCTGTTGTGAGCGTTATACCAGACAGTGCCAATGCAGTGTTGGCTGCAGCCTGTACTGATAGGGCGGCACACATAGGTTTATTTATTCATGAAAACAATAGCAGTGGCCGTAGCTCCTGCCCGTGTTGTGTTCGCCACAGGCCTGGCACCAGTCTGAGCTAGTTACTACATGAACTCATTGAATCCTCTCAGCAATCACATCAAGTAGGAACTATTATTACCCCCATTTAACAGATAGGGAAACTGAAACACAGAAAGGTTAAGTCGCTTGCCCAAGGCCACACAGTTAGGAAGTGACAGAGCCGGCTTCAGAGTCCATGCTGGTGACCACTACGCTCCATGGCTGCTATTAAGAGCAGTAAGCTGATGCTGTTTAGATTGTTTTTAAACCAAGCAAAATTCATCCTATATCAAATTAATTGGTCAGAACTCACTGTCCTAAAGAATTGAGAAAGTTTGAATTGAGAAGTTAGGTTTTTAACTAGAGTAGGTTATAGCGGTGAAAGCTGGAAAGAAATCCTTCTATTTCGAGGGCCTTTTGGACTCTGGGAGCTTGGACGGGGCCTCAGAGATGACTTAGTCTAATTCTCATATTTTGTGAACAAAGAATCTAGGGCACAAGATTGCTCGAGGCAAGTAAAGAGAATTATTTTGGAATCAAGATCTTTTGTCTCCAAAAATATTGTGTGTGACTGGAATTCAAGGAGAATAACATCTGATAATCAGAGATCAGCGTCGTACCAAACACCATAAAGTTACACTGGATTAGGCCCGACCTAAATCTTGTAAAAGTATGTTTTTCCTTCTGTTCTTGGACTCGGACATTTAGGGGATAATTTATTGTCACAAGTTTACCAATTTCTTGCTGGCCATTTTGCCCTCTGGCCTTTGGTTTCCAAGACCCTAAGCTAGTTACTACTGCAGGGAGCTGCTCTCCGCCTGACTGGAAAGCCGGAGAGTCTATGCTGCTGTGTCCCGCACGCACACAGGACAGCCCTCGTCTCCTTGTCCTCCGAGGATCGGTCTTGGCCGGCTGCCATTTCGGAGCGACTGGATTCCATTAATCCAGCACGCTTTCACCAGACCTTTCTGATGAGGAGGACACTTCAGATCGCGTAGAGGCACTGTAACGCTTTCCCATTGAGTAGGAAAAACAGGAAAGAAATTCCACACAAAGGAGACTCACACACCAAGGTTTAAATGGCCTTTGAGGCCCTGCCCTCCTGTGGATGGGCCTCGTGTAACTGGAAAGCCCAAGGAAGATTCTGGGTCAGGGCCTCTCTTGTATCCCTGACCCCTGAAGGGATCAGAACTGCGAGGTGTGACGACGTCTTTTCCTCCTTCCAGGGCCTGGACATTTTAGACCGAAGTTCCGAGTTGATCCATTCTGGGGAGCTGACGAGAATCACTAAGCAAGGCAGGAGCCAGCAGCGGACCTTCTTCCTGTTTGACCACCAGCTCGTGTCCTGCAAGAAGGACCTGCTGCGCAGAGACGTGCTCTATTACAGAGGCCGCGTGGACATGGACGACGTGGAGCTCGAGGACCTGGAGGACGGGCGGGACAGGGACTGCAACCTCAGCCTGAAGAACGCCTTCAAGCTCGTCAGCAAGACCACGGGCGAGGTGCATCTGTTCTGTGCCAGAAAGCAAGAAGACAAGGCGAGGTGGCTGCAGGCCTGCGGGGATGAGAGGAGGCGGGTGCAGGAGGACCGGGAGATGGGTGAGCGCCCCAGGCGTCCGTGCCTCTGCTTTCTCACCTCTTCTCCAGCCCCTCCCACCCTTCGGGAAAGAAAATCCTTCTAAACCTGCTGACAGGAGGGACCGTGACAGATACAGTTACTACAGGCAACATTTACTCAGTACTGACTTCGTGCCAGATGCTTTGCTGCACATTTATAGAGATTGTGTCCTTCAGTCCCAAGGTGTGGGTACTATTGTTATACCCATTTTACAGATGAAGAATTGAGGCTTAACGCACTTGCCCTCTCTTACAACATGGCCAAGTAGCCTTTAAAACCAGCTTGGTGCAACCCCGAGACTGAGCCACTCTCTGGTGACTCTCCCCCAGGTTTGAGAAATGCTAGAGGATCCTCGAGGCTTCCTCTCCCACTGTGCCTTTAAAGCACTTTAAATTTACCTTGCTGCCACAGTCGATTCAGACCCAACACCTCTGCTTGCGTGTTTTCCCATCTCTCATCCATGAAGCCAAGGACCGTGCGTCCTGTACTGTCATTAAGGCAGTGCTGCTTCATACTTCGCATTGCTCTTGCCTTCCCCGCTTCTGCCCACCTCCAGGTAGTGATCAGCCTTGTGCAACTGCTGTCCTTGGTATTTACAGTGATGGTATCCATGGTCTCTGAGCCCGAGGTCCACTGCCTCCCAGGCACACGAGAGTTTGGAGCACAAGCTGTTGAAGGGATGCCATAGGGACTGTGGGCCCTTAAAGATGAGGTGCAATGAAGCGTATTCATCTCTGCAGCCTACGTGAGCCCAGACCTCAAAGGCTGTGTGGTGCAGGATAGAGGAGAAGGCCTACAGCCTCCCTGTTTCCACCTCCTGCTATGAGGAAAGCTAGAATTCGGACCAGGAGGCGTCTTATGGTCCTCCCCACCTTGTGTGACCCTGGCCACCAGCCCTGGGCTTGCCACAGGTTTTGCTCTCACCCACAACAGGTTACGTGGGACCATATATTACAGCAGGAAGGGATGTACGGGCAGTCAGGCTAACACACCATCAGAAGCAGGAATCTCCTCTGAAACGGTCTCAGCAGGTGGGCGTCAGCCCACACCTTCACCCTAATTACACAGACTCACCATCTCACAGGGGCCCCTTCCACTAAGTGGAAGTGTCTTTGTACTGACAGAAAAGCTGATTCCCAACAACTTGCATATATTGGTGCTGCCTTTGACTCTCAGGCCCCTTTAGAAGAAGGCTCATCTCTCTATCATGTCAAGAATTCTTCAGATATTTGCAGATGACAGTTATTAAAATGCAAAACCCCAGAGCTTCGAAATCCTAATTTCACCTGCCATGTAACATTGTCTCGTGCAGGCCCTGAAGTCATCTGTAAGCTAGGATGTTTCACTTTCCCCTCGGATAGCACCAAGTATTAGAAGGGGTGTTCTAAACACTTCTCCACTCTGCCCCTCGACAGAGAAAGAAGGGAGGGACCTGATTTCATGCCTCTCTACAGTGCAGTGCCTCCCTGTCGCTAGTGCTCAGAAGACGTCAAAGAATGAATGAAAGAATGAGTGTATGTGTGCGGCACTCCTAGAGCCGTTAAGTCTGTGAACTTCGTGAGTGAGTAATAAAATAGGACCGACCCGGGCCCTTGCTGCATGCCTGACACGGCATGTGTCGGTAGATCCTGGAGAATGGGCAGTCAACCAGGCTGGGCATGGAGGGTGGAACCAAGGCAAAAGGCCCGTGCGGACCTGGGGACAGTAGAAGCCAAGGGGCCAGTGTATGGAGCCTGAAGGAGGCATCAGACCTGTCAGGGACAGATGTCAAGTATGTCGGGAAGCCGAGGATGGGAGCAGCGTGTGCAGAGGTAGAGGGTGAGCCCTGGCGAGTGAGCAGCAGAGGCCAAGCCCGGATCTCCTTCCGTCGGGGTGGAGCCCTGCCTGGGGGAGGAAGCCCTCCTGCTACTGCAGGGTCCATCCGGCCGGCAGCCTCAGCCCTCCTCCATCTCTGTCCTTTGCTCTCTTCTCACCTCCTGCCTGCGGGGCCCCAGCCTGTCTCATCTCCAGTTGTCTCATTTCTACCTACTCATTTTCACCCCCTCACCCACCACATGCCGACAGTGTCCGTCGGCTACAGTACTTGAGTAGGAGAAATTCAAGGCAACGCTGTCCGTACTTGGGGTACAAAGTCCAGTTTCCATTACTCATATTACCTTTGTCAGGGTAGAACCACTGACTCACCCAGCTTTCACAGTAGGTAGGTGAACAGACCCAGGGACCCCTTTGATTGGTCCTCTCCTCCCAGGGCCTCATCCTTTAGGGTTATAATTAGGGTGATCCTATACGGACGTTTGTCTGGGTTTACACAAGTAGTCAGTGCATCATTATTAACAGCACCCCGTTTCAGTCTTTAAAGTGACCTGGTTTGGAGAAGAATTACGTGGCCACCCTAGTGATAATCCACATGACTCCCGCTTATCCAATCTTTTCAACCTCTTCTGGTTCCTTGAGGATTAAGTTTCCTTGCTTCGGGTTATGGTGAATACCTCAGGTTAATATGGGTTATGATGCAAGTTTTATTCTGAAATGTCTTCTCTTGTTTTGAATATATATCATATTTTTTCTAAATCCAGGAATGGAAATTTCAGAAAATCAAAAGAAGCTCGCCATGTTAAATGCTCAAAAGGCAGGACATGGAAAGTCAAAAGGTAAGTTTTGGAGAAGGCTTCCTCTCCTTACTGTGTATCAGTGTTGGAATTAAAATCGGGAGAAATGCCCAAAGCTGTTAGCATCTGACCAACTCTGAATGAAGGAGACAAGTATGGGTGAAATGCAAAACGATGGATCCAAAATACTGGCAGTTTAAAATAATCTGCATTGGGTTTGAGTGCTTCAGTATTTGCTTACATTTGAATGGAAGTCTATAAAATGTGTTTTGAAATGGTACCAAAGAGCTTCCAGAGCCCCCATCCTGCCCACAGTCCCCCTGTGCCTCACCCTCCTGAGGGAGCGATGGTGTTACCATCAGGCCCACCAGCTCACCAGGCAAACCAGTGCCTCTTGCATCTTTTGGGCATGCAAGGAGGAAATCTCCACCCCAGACTGCGTGTCGGCTACATTCTAGTTGAGGGAAGAAAGCAGATCTGAAAGTTGAGTGCATCAAGCCAGGAGTTAAAAAGAAGGCACACCAGCTTATTTAGAGTAGGTTTTCTCTACCCTCCGTGCACAGGAGAATTACCTGGGCAGCTATTTAAAAATACCAGTGCCCAGGTCATGCACCCCAGAGTCCTAATGTGCAGTTAAAGACTTTCCACAATGTAGATAATACAAATGATTTAGCCCAATAGAAGTAAAATAATAAGGACTTTATTCCAAAAATGTGTTATACTGTTAGAACATTTATTCAGGTTGACTGTCTTCTCTAAGAGGGATTTACCCTATGAAATTTATCCCACTCAGTATTTTCCTAGCTGAAAATGCAAAAACAAGGACCAGGTAAGCCCAGGACTATGAAACGCCACCAGCTGATGGGCTGAGAAGAATTCATTACCAGAATACCAGTTAGCATTCCCCTCCGCCCTCACTCAAATGCAGAATTTCCCCCACTGACTTATAAATATCTTCAGGGCAGAAAAACCCATTTTATATTCTTTTTCTTGCATCTCCACTTTTAATGGCATGTGACTAGTAAGTATCAATTCATTAGAATTTATTAGCTTCTGTCCGTATCTTCCAAGAGCCCCTGGCTCAGCAGCTAGGCTCCTAAAGAATGGGAAGAACACCGGTGCTTCTGGGTGACCGCCTGCCAGGCACTTCCCGAGAGTTACCTCACCTCCTCTGCCCTGTCAGCCTGGAGGACAAGGAAGGCCTTTTGTTTGGCAGAGGCTCCTTCCAGAACCCACACTTTCCTCATATCATGCCGACTCTCACCGTTAGCTTGTGATCTTGTCGCTAACTTTAATAAACCTGTTTAATTACCTCTGCACAGATTTAAAATGCCTACTCTAAAGAAACGGTTTGATTAAAGTGATTAGGTAATAAGTATAATAATACATATTACTTATATTAACTTGGTTAATTCTCATAACAACCCGGTAGGAACTATTATCCCCGTTTTAGAGATTAGGGGCCTGAGGCACAGAGAAATGAAACAATTTCCCAAATAATAACAAAGTAAGTAGCAAAGCAGGATTTGGGCCGAGGCAGTGTGAGCTCTAGGCTTTCACTGAAAGCGTTTTATTGCTTCTCATCCCAAATAGCCAGTCCACGTCTAATTCTGCTACTTAGTGCTGTGTGACCATAGATGATTTATGTAACCTCTCTGGCTGTCAGTTTCCTTCCCGATCACATTACTGTAATGGTACCTTGCCTGGAGGGTTTTTGGAGGGTTTTTGACGCAGTATCTGAACATAATAAGTGTTTGTTATGATCACTATTAGATGTACTTCTGGTTACTATGAATTGAGAATTAGCTAAGAACTGGGAGTCTTGGCACTGTTTTTTTCCTCTTTGGTTAACCAGTGACGCTCAGCCTTTGTTCCCTCTCTCTCCCCTCCTGAGCAGGCTACAGCGGGTGCCCCGCGGCCCCACCGCACCAGAGCTTGCATCCCCTACACCAGCGTCACGTCACCGTGCCCACCAGCGTCCCCCAGCAGCAGGTCTTTGCCCTGGCAGAACCCAAGAGGAAGCCCTCGCTGTTCTGGCACACCTTCAATAAACTCACCCCTTTCAAGAAATGAAGCAGAGGCCGGCGCTTCTGCTGAGGTGGACGTGGAGAGGAGAACCTTTCTTGTTTCTTCTGTGCAAAGTCCAAGAAAAGTATGTTGGACCCAGTGCTGAGAACTTCTTTGGGGATCAGTGAAGAAGAGAAGGATTTGGACTCACCTTCAGTCTTCAGAGACCCAGCTGCCTCCTCGGATGGAAGGAGAAGCTCGTGACGGACGTCTTTAATGCACACGAGAGCCCTCTGTGGACTATGCTGGGATGGCCAGGACTTGGGAACCAGTGATGGGCTCTGACTGCGTGCTGAGCAGTGACCCCGTGAGCCTCGCAATGACGAGCCCGCTCGCTGCTGCAGGTCAGGCACGGGGTGCTAGGGGCCCCTCGGTTCCTGGGGGAGGACCAGATGAGCATGGCGCGCTTGCGTTTGGTTTTGCAGGGAGTGATCGTGATGGGGCTGGTGCGACCCTGCCTCTCGCCAGCACTGTGAGCTGCTCCTCTCTCCACAGCATTGGGGGCAGTGCAGGTGCCCTGGTGTTCCCTGGTGTCGTCTGAATCTATGCAGTGGCCAAATGGTAGTGCAGGCTTCCTCGTGCCAGGGTCCTGCCCCTACAGGCTAGAGGGAAAAACAGGATGCACTGGTTCTGTGGCGGTGAGCTCTGCAATGGGGAGGGACTTACACCTTTAAAGATACTGTTGCTTTCAAGGGAGGGAGTGGAAAATCCTACTGCAAGCCAGATGTGTCCTTTTCAAGTCAGGAACTCTCCTGCCCGTGTGCACTAGGTAACTCCATGAGCAGAAATCATGTCTACTCGTATGTCATAACCTAAGAAACTCTATTCAGACATATCTGTTTGCAATATAAAAACCCATCTTCTTTAATTTTATGATACAGTGAATATGCAGATGCACCAGTTGGAAGGCATTCTTAAAGAGCATCAATGTGCCTGTTCCGTCAGTTGTTTCTGGCGTCCTCACCAATTAAGTTACAGTGACACGTACATTCCACTGAGAAAGCATGAGGTTCAGAGCCCTTCAGCTTCCTCAGGATTTGAAGCCGCTTTGTTGCATAGACCCACAGCAGCCATGCTAGCCGACCATCATTAGCATGTCAACAGGTTTCTGAAGATTGGCTCTTTATAAAAGAAACCTTAACAAAATCTATCTAGACTCAGAGAGAGCATCTTCTTTAACAAAGGTCACATGGGCTGATACCTGTCAATAGTAATCTCCTTGTCTTTGTCTCTATTGTAAATTTTGATAAAACTAACTTCTAAATATGTCCAGAGAAGACAACAGACTCTGCAAGAGAGATGCCATTCTCATTTACTGAGTGCACTGGCTGGGGGGTGTAGTATGGCACCATTTGTGGTTTTCTGTTTGAGAATCTCTCTTTTATGTGCTACTTTCAGAAAGTTCTTTTTTCTAATAGGCCCATGCTTGAAAATAAACAGACCTGGAATGTCATAGACACAGGTGTAACCTGCATCTCCAAGCAGGTGGTTCTTCCACTCTCCCCACTCTCCCTCACACTCAGCTATTCCTGAAGAAGGTGACGTCATGCATCAAGAAGACACAATCCTGGACCTCTTGGGTGGGCCTTAGAGTGTTCTGTAAAAACTTGTCAGGAAACTTGTCTGTTAATGACCCTGCTCAGCCACCCTGATGTGCTCATTTATAGGCAGTATTGCTGGAAGATTGTGTGACCCTGTGGCCACCCCCCCGGGGTGCTTCTGTGGACCTTCCTACTGAGTGTACCAGAATAGAGGCTGCTCTGGGGAGGAAGCCTCGCAAGAGGTGCTGTGTCTCCTCGTGCCCAAGCACTCGTGCACGCATGTGTGTATGTGTGCATGCTCATGCACGTGTGTTTCATTTTTGAATAGACATCTCAATTTTAGTTGCGTTTATATAACTGACCTTTTTACTAACAAAATATGATGATATATTTTGAAAACTTTACTTAATATCCTTTTCATGGACCCCTAAGCAATAACTGCAGGGGTGTTTGTGCTAAATAGAGTTGTTTGTATATACAGCAATTTTGAACAGTTGGGTTTTTTTTTTTAATATAAGAGAATTACTTTAAGGAAGTAAAGAGAATTTTTCACTCATGTTACATTTTCAGTGAGGATTGAATTTGAGTGAAGAACCACTCAGAGGGCTTCCATTTACTAACGGGCCATGAAGAAACGCTTTAAGCTCTGTGACCAGTCCTGCTTTCTTTCCCAGCCGAGCCCTACCTTCTGGTTTCCACCTCTCCCTCCGTGGGCTTCCTGCCGGGAGCAGGAAGCTCGGACGCCGGGGCCTGTGGAGCCCGGCGCTGTCCCGTCAGCTCTGTACAGTGGGAGAGTCACTTGATCAAATACCGGTTCTAGCTGGATCCTGCTTGGATTTTCAGGTGCTTTATGTCTAGGTTGGGTTGTGTTACCAAATGCCTGAGTTCTATGAAGAGATGGCTCAAGTGTTCTAATTTTAGGTTTGCCAAACGTCCTTCTTGATTTGTCACATGTCCCACTTGGAAAGAAAGAGCAAAAACAAAGAGCCTCCTGTATGGATTATGTATGAATTTCATTGGGAATCTCGCATTCTGTCTGTCTTTCTCTCTTTTCTCTCTCTACATTGCATGATATGGATGGACCAAACAAAAAAAGATGGCATAACATTTTGATGAATTTCACTTATTCTGTCATTCATGTTTCAGAATTTGCCAACTCTCTTGAAAGACAGTTGAAATGGCCTCAGGTCAAAAGCACCCTTCTCAATTTTGATCACACCTAAAATGCATAACAACCTTGCAGTAGATTATAAGCAATCACAAAATAGAATATTTGTAAAATCCTGGAGAAATAGCATTCTTTATCTTTGTCTTGCAAACTAGAAAAAGAGTGGCAGCAATCCCAGAGTTCTCCCGGGATACCATCTGCTTAGTTTGTTTTCAGTAGATCTGATCTCTTTCCCTCGGTGGATCTGATTTTGTAGTTGAAAACATTTCACTCCCATCCCCACGCTATTTCTGAATATTGTTGTGCCTTTTTATCCCTAATCCAGATGAAGACTAACTCTGTGCCTGTGCAGAAAATCCCCTCAATCCTACATTGCTGTTGTCTAGACACAAAGCAAATGTGCATTTAATTCAAAATCTGTTTCACAATGGAAATCTTTTGTAAAAGCCATGATCCAGCATTTCGTCAGCTGGAACTCTACGTGCCCAAAGTGCTGATCTCCCCCAACAGAGATCACCTTGCGTACCGAGCCGGGATGGAACAGCCTGATTACTTGGGGCAAGGGAGAAAATGGCTGTCTCATTATTTTGTCGAGGAGAGAAGAAACAGACGTGTCCCTCACGGGACGATGCCAACAGTGTGCGTAAACGTCCTTTCCTGGCTGACCAGCCAGGGATGCTGGACACAAATCAACGAGGTCAAACCGCTCAGAAACCGTTGTAAACAGGCTTAACCTGCAAGTTGTTCTCCTTGCTGAAATGTCACTTGGCTGGTGCTGCTGTTCTCAGGATGGAGGCAATGAAGGTGGAGTCCAAAAGACTGGGAAAAAAATGAGTGGAAACTGATCTTGAAAAAAACCCAGAAGCTTAAATATTTGATGCAAATATACTTGGCTACAACACACTTAACAGTATTGCCTTTAGTTATTTTATAGGTATTGACATTGCATTTAGAAAATACTTTTCTTTACCTGATTCTGTAATTTAACAGTTGGTCTTTTTTTGTAAATATTAGCATCAGTTGTGTTTGCCTTACCTACTTTGCAAGGCTTTCGGTAACCTTTTCCTTCAGTTTTAACTCATCAAGATGATGTTATCTGTGAGTCTAGTGACAGCTTCCAAGCTGACGAATAGCTGTTGACAGCTGAAGTGTGTTGTACAAGATTGCTCTACCTTGATATGTATTTTTGTTGAATGAAGTTTTTGTAAAAAAAAAAATTATTTACAATGTTATTTGAATGATTCCTTGTAAATGCTGTGAATGTGCATTTGCTGTTTTGTATCTGTATATTAAAGTTAATTTGCCAAACTGGTTCTAGTAATGTATTTGAGTAGTAAAATAAGGTGTGTGTGTGTGTGTGTGTGTGTGTGTGTTAATGGAGAGTGAGTGCTAGGAGGGTTTCTGGGGTTTACAGCTCATTTCCTGCCTGGGCGTTGATAAACTTCTTTTCAGTAAAAATCCATCCTTTAATGAGCTGGATCAAACCACTGGATAGGTATGGGGGAGTGAAGGCTCTGAGGGGAACAGAGAGGGGCCACGTGAGTTGAAAAAAGTCACTAAATGTTGGAATAAGACTGATAAAGCCAAAACCCGAAGTGAGAAGTCCTATTTTGTAGCAGCAGCTCCTGCTGCTGATGGTGGGAGGTGGATGGATGGAAGGTGCCTTTGTACACCTTCCATTTCACAGCTGCTGGCCCCCTCCACCAGGAGATCCACTGTGGCCGCGGCTCACCTACCCTGTGGGGGTGGGGTAGAAGAGAATTTCCTTCTCTAATTAACAGCTCAGAGAAGCTGAGTAAATAGCCATTGTTTGCTGTGACTAATAAGAGAGGGGTTCCTATAGAGGTTGCCAGGCAGCTAGTCCCCACTTTTTGTTTGTGTACTCAACATCTACCTACTTCCCAAAATGGTCTGCTCTCTGTCCTTGGCCTGGACTGAAAGGGGTAGGGGGTAAGCTTAGGGGGCTGGGGAGGGTGAAAGCCCTGGGAACCTAAAAGTCTGCCTCTCCAAGGGTGGCTGCCGGACTCTAGACGGTACTACATACAGGAAGGAGGGACCGTGGAGGGCAGTGGCAGTTTCTTCTGGAAGAGTTTCGGGGGAGGTGACCTAACATGAGCCACCTCCCCTACATGCTGGAGAAACGAGCTGACGTGGGTAATCCTCCAAAGGAGCATGTGGTCCAAGAGGGAAGAAAAACACATCAAGGTATAATTGAAACGCAGTGGGAACTCCACAACAATAGGGGTGTGTACAAGTCGGGAAAGGGCTTCTGGTATGGAGACCCTTCCTCTGGTGAGTGTCAGGGCGGGAAGGGGGCACGCAGGAGCGAGGCCCAAGTACGATCCTGGAGGGTTAACCTAGCCCGGGGGGGCTTCGGTGCGCTGGAATTTGTTGTGCGAGGCACCAAAATGGTGAGCAGAAGCTGGATCACAAAGGACCTGCGGACCATCACGCGCTGGGATTGATTTCATTTTTGTAGGCAGAGTTTAAGGAAAG